AGTGCGGCTCTAAGAACATGGAGTTTAAAGTAAGGCACATTCAGTAAGCCTGTACAGCTCATTATGCTGAAATCAGAAAGCAACAAAAGGCAAGTTTCCCTAGTAGTGTTTTGGAAAAGGCTTGTGTGAAACTTATTCATTTATTTCTGCAGCATTTCCTAGGTTTCAATTCCATGATCTAGAACAACCACAGAAATCCACAAAAGTTTCTAAGACAACCTTGTATTTAAGACTTGCAGATATAAACTAGTTGGGAATCTGTTGATCTACCCAAATGGGTGCTATGCATTGCTTGAAGTGAGATATTCATGCTGATACAAAATAAGCTCTCTTTCAACATGCACACAAAAACACACTTTCATCCCCAAGGCCAGGTGGTACAAGGGTTTTTCAATAACTAGCGTCCCTATACAAAGGGAAGTCAACCTGAGAAAATTGGACAAGAAGGGAGAATTGTCTGCATTCGTGGAATTATAGTTCCTGTTTTGGAAACAGAACCTCAGAGTTGGGTTGACATCCCTAAATTCCAAACACAAACATCTGAACCGTAACACGGTCTAAATTTTCTTTAAAATGGACCCCAACCAACTTAGCAAATAAAACCTGATTTTATAGTTGATCAACAAGAATTACTACCCATAAAAGCAAGAAAGCATTATTATTTGCCTGACATGTACAACAGGTGGAACTTAAGTTAATCAGGATGATAAACTGGAAGTGAACAAAGAGCTGTCTGGATCCAGGTTTGCTATGCCAAGAAATCCTGATAGATATCCTGTTTCCCCCAAAATAAGACCTAACTTGAAAATAAGCCCTAGTATGATTTTTCAGGATGCTCATAATTTAAGCCCTACTCCAAAAATATGCCCCAGTTCAGTGAAACCCCACCCCTACCATTTTGCAGCATTGTGCAGCATCCAGAAGATGGCATGACTGTATTTGAATAAATGTAGATTGCTGTACATGAAAAAATTTAAAACATCCCCTGAAAATAAGCCCTAATGTGTTTTTGGAGCAAAAATTAATGTAAGATCCTGTCTTATTTTCACAACACATGGGCAATATAATATAATACCCTGTCTTATTTTCGGGGAAACACAGTACATTCTACTTTCTGTATGAATGACAGACACTCATGTATCACTTATTTATTTACACTCTATGTGTAAATAAATAAGTGATATGTGTGTGTGTGTGTATTTCCTTTTGTATTATGATGACATGGTTTGTATATTCAGAATTACATACAAGAATAGAATCATGTAGAAGCCATTAGATCTTCAAATTTTTTAGAAAATACAGGAGAATCTCCTTAACTGATCAGCATCTGTGGATTCACTTTTTTGCTGCCTGAAAATATTAAGCAAAGAACCACAAAAATCTATCTTTATACGTATTTTCACTGTGTATTTACCAGAAGTAGACATTAGAGGGAGCTAAAGACAATGTTATCTATAGCATTTGCTACATCCATGTTTTTTCAGTGTCCACAACCCGGCTTCGAACCAATATCCCATGGATATGATTTCAAACTTACTGGCTTGTCAATTATTAGCTGGAATAAAAAGAAACAACCCAACCATTTTCCGTTTGGTTTTCTTTCCATTTCCAGGCAAGAGAAATTAAAATCTAGTTTACTGTCATCTTTTTCTTTCATTCCCAGATAGTCCGATAGCCAGTTAGATTCTTGCCTTTAAGCTATTTCTTTCATTGCTCGTGTGTTGTGATTCTGAAAAGGGAAGTCCGCCTAAGCTTCCCCCCTCCCTCCCAGAAAGGTGTAGCCTGTGAGAATCTAGACTGTTATTGATTGCACCTTTTTACTTAAGAATTAAAGCAGTTTCATCAATCTCTTTTGCTAAATGTAGACTTGCTCACATTACTGGATAAAAGAGGGTTTTGGGAGTAGAAAGACAAATAAGCGACAGACAGGTACTGGTCAGATTCCAAGGCTATAGAAGAAATAGGACTGCATGTGAATCAGCAATATGAAAGCAAAATTCAGTTTGTTTCCAAAATCAAAAAAGATGGTGGCAAAAATAATAATCATGTGCTGTCAAGTCATGGCGACCCTTTCAGGGTTTTTCCAGGTACAGCGTACTCAGAAGTGGTTTACCCTTCCCTTCTTCCGGGGGCGCCCTGGGACTGTACAGCTGGCTCAAGGCCGCACAGGCTGGCTCTACTCACAGGAAGCATAGTGAGGAGCTGGGACTCCCAGCCTCTAGCTTCACATCTAGATAGCTAAATCTGATTAAACAATTACTTTAAACAACATATATGGGTGAATTTGGAGACAGTTTGTGAGTCATATAACTTCTTTTGGTGTCTGCTTTGCAAGTACTGTAGGTCAATGGGGGTAACTTCTTTTGGTGTCTGCTTTGCAAGTAGGTCAATGGGGGATTAAGCTACAAGGCACCAAATTTAGAGTGTGTGGTGGTAGTCCTGCCCTATGGTCATGACCCAAGGCGACGCTAACCATACAGCCCATGTTGACTCATGTTAACTCATCACTAATAGTGGGAAGCAAAGCACCATGCCCCCATTGCTTATCCACTCAACTTCTTTTGGTGTCTGCTTTGCAAGTAGGTCAATGGGGGATTAAGCTACAAGGCACCAAATTTAGAGTGTGTGGTGGTAGTCCTGCCCTATGGTCATGACCCAAGGCGACGCTAACCATACAGCCCATGTTGACTCATGTTAACTCATCACTAATAGTGGGAAGCAAAGCACCATGCCCCCATTGCTTATCCACTCCTCATCCTGAGCCCATGTTGACTCATGTTAACTCATCACAAATAGTGGGAAGCAAAGCACCATGCCCCATTGCTTATCCACTCATCCTGACTTCCTGATTGGCTAGAAAAAAATATATTCAAACCTCCATCATGTGCTGCCAGAGAAACAGGAAAAACAGCAGCCACATTTCCTGGATCAGGGAGCTTTACCATCTACACAGCACTAGCTCCTTTTCTTGAAGGTAGGTTCCAGGGCAACGTACCTAGAACCAAGGGTTGATGGGAAGGGTAGCCTCTGAGGTCCTCTGTTTCAGAGTGCAGGCACCCTTGGACACTACCATTGCCCTTATGTAACTGCTCCCTCTTGTTTCTCTGGCAGCATGAGTGGAGGTTTGGAGGCAGCATTTTTTGCCTGCTTAATTTCAAAAACTGGCAAGCCAATTGCATCTGATCAGCAGCATTACAAAAACTGGCAAGCCAATTGCATCTGATCACACAGCATTACTAAGATAAAGGCAAAGGTTCCCCTTGACATCTAGTCCAGTCATATCCGACTCTACGATGACATCTAGTCCAGTCATATCCGACTCTAGGACGTGATGCTCATCCCCTTTTCCAAGCCATAGAGCCAGCGTTTGTCCGAAGACAGTTTTGCGTGGTCACGTGGCCATGGAATGCTGTTACCTTCCTACCATGGTGGTACCTATTTATATACTCACATTTTTACATGCTTTCTAACTGCTAGGTTGGCAGGAGCTGGGACAAGTGACGGGAGCTCACTCCGTCACGTGGATTCGATCTTATGACTGCTGGTCTTCTGACCTTGCAGCACAGAGGCTTCTGCGGTTTAACCCGCAGCGCCACCACGTCCCCTACTTACTAAGATACACCATGTTTAAAATACAGAATCTAAACTTTTGACATCAATGCTTCAGCAATAGGATCCATCTTCACATATTTACAATAAATTTACAGTCACTGACAACACAAAACAAGGCCTTCCCACTCCCAGAGGCAACTGGAGGTTACATATATATTTATATTTATATATTTATTGCTATAAAGGTCAGTGCTTTAGCAGTACTGTCAACGGGCAAGAAAATAAACTTACTTCAGGAAACTAATCTTACTTGTGCATTTTATTTTTAATGGAAAGAAATACAGATTGACAGACAACAGATAGATATACTGAGTAAAGTAAGTAAGGCTAACTAATTTTGTTATGTATGTTTTCATCACATGATTAATTAATTGAACTGATGTATCTTCTTTCATCAGGAATCACACACAGTGCATAATAATACAATGCAATTTAAACAACCATATTTTAAACCTCTAATATGAAAATGAATTGACTAAAATTCAATTAAAGACCTAACAAGAAAAGCAATGGAAGGAATTTAAACCCTGCTCATCATCAGACCACATTCTATGCCAAAGGCTTCCCTGCAAAGAAACACCTTTGCCTGCCAGCAAAGGACTAGAAAAACACAACCCAGTCTCCATAGCAGAACCATTCATGAGAAACTTTAGAATCAGATGCAATTCAGTCAAAAGCATGGAAGAAAATTATAATTATATTGACTTGCAGGAGACTAATCTATGCTCTCCTTCACATTGTGTGAGTTCTTCAAAAGTAACAAAAAAAAGAAGTCCCCACAGATTTCCAACTGTGAGAAACAAAACACCTGTTTTGAGCAACATGAATCAGTACCATAATGACAACACAGCCAATCCAAGCAGACACAAGAAGGAAGAAGAAAATATCACCACCAATGTAAGCTACCATGGTGATCTGAGACATTATCGTGAAGATGCAGAAAACAATAACAAACCTAATTCCAAGCAGACACAAGAAGGAAGAAGAAAAATCACCACCAATGAAAGCTACCCTGGTGATCTGAGACATTATCAGGCAGATGCAGAAAACAATAACAAACCTAACAAGAGCTGACAGAAAGGCAATCAAATTTGTTTTATGAAAAGCTTGGTGTTAGATCTCCTTCTTTGAAGAGATGAGCATAGCTAATAATAAAACATACTTCCATCAGATTCGAGTCATGCACTCTGAAAGTATCCCACAAAATCAGGCTTCATTTTTCTACCATAAGAAAGCACACCAATCATCACATAGTAAAGCTTCCCGAACCAAAAATGCATCAATCAAGTGACAGGGTATAACAAATATCCATTAGAAGTTTCTTGAAGCATATTTATAACTTGTTGATTCAAGACAGACGACAAAGAAGACAAAGGAAGAGAACTTACCTAGAACCCCTAGCCTGTAGTTGATAGTTACAACAATGACATTTCCGTAGCTTGCCAGTATGCTGCCATCAACTATATTCCCTGTACCTTCCATATATGATCCGCCATGGATATAGACCATCACTGGCTTCTTGCTGCTCTGATCATGTATGTCTGAAAAGAATACAAGTAAGGAAAACACATGAAAGTAATACAAATATTAAAGGAAAATTGTTGTGCATTTTGTTTCCACAAAGTGTAAATCAAACTTCTGACTCTGCCCAGTTTCTCAGCTCATCTAGATTTCTTATTTACTAGTTTCTCCTCAGTTATGACCATGGGCAAAAAAGCAAAGTGGGCTTCCAGAAATGCCCTGAAAGAGGCAAAAGTGCCCTAGGCACAGAGTATTTCTTACTGCAAGACCACAAAATTTATAGAAATGGGTGAGAAGCAACATTGGCCAAGTATCGCCATGTCTCACAGTATGGAATAAAAACTATGTTGCTTTGAAAAACATGGCATAGTATTAGGTCTTTTGAAATGTATAATGTATGCTTTAAATCATAATGGGGGGAAAGCCGTTGTCAAAAATATGTCGTTGTCAGACCACTCACAACAAAAGCATTCTCCAAAATACACAGACCTTGATGAAAATAGAATTTTCACAGAAAAAACATTCCTGCAGCTGACCTTCACCTAAACCCCGCTGAACGTATTTATATGCTTATATATGATTTATATATGCTGTTAAGGCTTGTAGTGACACTGAACATGGGCCAGGTGGAATTTGATTTGCTGGCTGTTTTGCTCCTAAAAAAAATCTTCCCTGTATGTGCTGCCATCCACAATGAGTTCATTCAGGCTTGTAAATCATTTGTACACTAGGACTGCAAAACTCTGCCAGCATTTAAGCACTGAAGAAGTCATTCAGAGCACCGACACTAGGGAGGGCTTTCGGGCAGCAATCAGCAATTGTAATGAGAGTATAACACAACTAAGTACCTGAGATACAAGATACACTTGGTAATATACTAGCACGCTGCCATAAAACATGCTGTTCTGTTCTTGTTTCCAGCATCTTAATAGTGTGGCAGGCAGATGCTGAGGTACTCTGCTTCGATCCCAGCATGTAACCTACATGTCAGGAATATAACACTTAGTCTTGTCTTGTGTCCTTCACTTCTTACTATTTATGGCCAACTAATACAACCTCTCTTGCACATACGTGCATAGAAGCATATGATGTAACACTATCTTTCTTAGGTTCTCATCCATGGCTGCTTTGCACATGATTGTTCATGTTCATTATGTTGTAAAAAGGTCCGTTTCCTCTTTCATCATCATTTTAGAACTGCAGAGCTAGGACAGACCCAATGGGTCATAGAATCCAGCCCCTGTCAAGGAGGCACAGTGGGGAATCAAACTCCCAACCTTTGGTTTTGTGAGCAGATACATAAACCACTGAGATATGCTTTGTTGTCTTGTTGACTGTACGCTTTTAAATCACAACAAATGGTGAACTTTCTTATATCATTGGTTGAGGGGGGAAACCCAGATTTCATAGTATCACATTTGTACTAATACCCAAAATATCAGTTAATCGGTTGCTTATCATAAACTGAAAAGCCGTGTTCCAGCAGGCAGTTGGCAACTGGTAGCCTTGTTCCAATAAGTTCTTTTCCCAGAAACCAGGCGGAAAATGAAGAGGGGTGGGAATCATTTAAATTGTGCAATATAGATGATCTGATAATGTATTCTCGCTCTTGATATGTAAAAATAACTTTCCAGCAAGGGGGAAACAACGGATATACAAAAACAACTTGTCATTTAAGAGGATGGGGATTTTTTTTTCTGAAGTAGCCCTCCAGCGGAATTAGTTTCTGACTGGGGTCATCAAGTGATAGCATCTGTATAGTAAGTGCAGAATATACTGTAAGTCTAATTTCTTTATTTAGAGAGAAATATCCCAGCAGTGGAGAACTGCGGGGGTGGGGTGAGGAAGGTTGAATGGCTGCAGTAACAAGGAAGCAGAGATCTTAGCAGCTGTTCTCCGAAAGGTCAAGAAAGCCACAGTCATTCTGAACTCTGAAGAAACAAGGAGATTAAGAGGTGACCTCAGATTACTATTCACATTTACGAAAAGAACGGAAGGGGCAAATGTTACTCTGTTAGCTGAAATAGTGTCAGACATCAAAACAGAGAAAAGAGAAAGGGAAGTAGGCTAAAGAAAGGTCAAGCACCACAGAGATATGGCTAAATTTATACTGCAAAAAAGTAGCACAACAAATAATTTATCATCCTATGCTGAGGTGGACAACCCATTACTCTAAGGCCACGACAAGTCCTAATTCCACGTGGGGTTCGGCCACCATATCAAAAGGTCCTCCCTCTCCAAGTGAGCAGTTCACAGGCCTAGCCAAAGTGATTCGTCCCTTCTCTGTCCCATACTGAGTGGGAAGAGAGAGAAACTGGGGGGGGGGGAAGTGATACGGTAGAAAGAAACCAAACAAGCATAGCCCTTTTAATTTCTGGCTGTGGCTCACTGTTCGCTCTCCACCCCTCAAAAGTCTATCCCCCACAAGGCATGCAGCCTTAGTCAGAGAAAAGTTTCACACCGGTGTTGACTTGTGCTGACCTTTGCCAGCAAGACAGATAATATCTGGAGACTGCTGAGTTTTATTTCAGACATTCTGAAACACAAATTGCCCTCAAAACTGCTGCCGAACGTGGAATCAAAGAAGGACTTCATGGGTCATTTAAGATTTTCATGGCAGTTCAGATGAGACTGCAGACTAACTTTAATGTAACAACAACAACAAAAAAAAAAACCCTGTAGTGTCTTCTTACTGCATACATATATAATTCAGTGACTGTTCAAAAACAGAAAAGGAGCTACATCTTTATTAGGTACTCTGATAATGTTTTATTGATAATCTTTGATACATTATCAGAGTACTGTACCTAATATATCTCTGATACATTATCAGGTACTTGCCTTCAAGTCCTCACTGTCCTTACGGGAAAACCTGTAATTCTCTTGCATTTGATAACAAACAAGGAGTAATTAGCAGGATTTTCAGTCACTGCTTCTTATAAACACACAGCTATGCCTCTTTTACATCTTTGGCCAAACGTGGTGACACTACCTTGCATGTTTACAATAACATGCAAGCAATGGAGCTCCCAAGGGAATAGGTATTGCTGTTATGTGTGATATAAACACACAAACATATTCCTGGGAACTGGGGGAGGGAAAATAAATAGTGGCAAACATTGCCCCAGGTACATGCAAAGGAGGAAAGTGTGAAAGTATAAAACAAACAAACTGGAAAGCTTCCTTCAGTTTTCTTGAAATAATCACACACTGAGGAGAGAAAAACAGAACGGCAGACGAAGTAACTGCATCCACTAGATGGAGAAGAGAACGAGGGAAATAATGTGAAGGTGAAGTTACAAAAGGTACTAGAAGAATAAAGAAAAAGATACACATGCAAGGTTTCAATTCCGTTTTTATTTCTTCCTGGGCAATAGCTGGGGATGGGAATAAGGAAGCACTTGGTTGTAAATAATATGCATCTTATTCACTTCACATAGATTCACAGATAACCTGTACTTTTATCACAAAAGGGGGTTGTAGTCATCTAAATGCTAATTTGTGTGTTTCTTTAAAAAGGGGTGAAAGAAAAGTTGATTCCAGATAAGAAGAAAATAAAGAAGCACACTGAAATGTGTGTGATTAAATAAAGAAAGAGGGGAAAGTTTATGTTCATGCAAACCAGGGTTGAGCTTTGGGGGAGGGAAAAAACCAAAAAATACCTTCATCTTCCCCACGATCATTACTGGTTATATCATCTGCGCTTTTCTTTGTGTTGGCTCCTGTGGTCAGAGTGAGCAGGAGAATAAAAGGGAAAAAAGAGAATTCAAAAACAGCAGGTTCCCGAAAATTTAAAGAAAAAGAACGTTCCCAAAAAGTTGAAAAGAGAAAAAGAACAAAAATTCAAAATCCGAATTGTTAAAAAATAAAGGATGCAAACTGCACGCTAACATAAATAAAACAAATAAGGAAAAAAATCCAGTAGGAAAAAAAATGTTGTGACAATGCAGTTAATCTGATTAGAAATGGTTGCTTACATTGCATTTGAAATTGGAAGGGAAAAAAACATGTATACATAATTATTTTTTCAATTTTGTGAAATTCAGTGATAGCTCAATACCTGGTGCACTCTTTGAGTACAATATTGATCCCCTTGGTTTTGTCAGCAGGACACTAGAAACTAGGAACAAGTGATTAAAAAAATCAGAAGAGACAGAGTTTCAGAAGTGTGTGCATGGAGTGTTCCCACCCTGACAAATCACTATAACCAGTTCTACATGTCCCAAAGAGCCACAGGCGTTCTGTTTCTCAGAATTATGCCATGCCTACTGTGTGACCCAAGAGGATTGTTCCCTTTGGAACTGAGGGAAATGTCATCAGTAGATTGTGATATGGCATTTCAGTTTGCTTGTTCAAAGGGGAAAAGTCAAAAAAACCTAATAGGTACACCCATATAACTCCTTACTTTCTGCTATTTGAAAAAAAAAATCATTACAATATTTAGATTTCATTTCTCATGATTGCAAATAATTAACACAAACATATAATGAGCATTTTAAACATTAAATAGAAGGGAGGGTGATTTTGGTTTCGTTTGCCTTTGTTAGAACCACATGTCCACTATATCTAACAATGTACTTGAGGTATCTACTTTCAGACTGAGGACCATCTGAGTTATAAAAGAGTCAGACTTCCATAAAGATGATATATCCAACTGCAAAAATATCATAACTGTAATTATACACAGCATATTACTTACCATGGGGGTGGGAGGGCATTAAGGAAGTTTTTTTTTTCTTTTCTTTTTCTTCTCAAACATTTTTTTCTTCTCAAAACCAAAACAGCTCTTGTATTCTTGAAACAGAAGTAGGGCCTTTTGTGGACTGAGACAGGCGTGTACCTTAATTCACTAATATCTGTCGGGGCAATCAAGTCCTGAGCAGGGAGGGAGGCAAAAGGTAGCGGTCCCCAGTATCAAAATTATCTAACACATATGCAGCTCTCTGCACATTGGGCGAGTAGGTTCCGACAGTCTTCGAAGGTTGTTGTGATTTTTCTATATGCGGAGATTGTTGTGCAAATGTAAAAAAGAAAAAAAATCACACCCCCGCCCCCGAAAAAGAAACAAAAACAGAAATAGAAACTTTTTTCCCCATTGGTGGAGACATGAAACTAATACAAAAATAAACATCAGAACACAATCCCAAAAGTGTGTCAAGAGCCTGGTGGCTATTGAGGCATTACCTTAAAAAAGGGGGAAGCCTGTCTCCTAAACAGAAAGCAGAATATCCACGAACACAGCAGAGAGAGTGGATGGGTCAATAATTGCCTTCTGTTTTTAACACAAAATGCTTGCCTGTGATGCTTATCTAACGCAGGGAACATTTATGCTACTTTTGTTCCATTCCTCTTACAAAATGACAGGGACCATATTTATTCAAACACACTTTTAAAACTTCTCAGTGTTATACGAAAACCATAACTAACCCCAGGTTTTCCCATAGAAAATCTATGGCATCCTCATGTTGCAGTGTGATTTCATTTAAGAAAGTCTTTTTAAAATGGCACGGGCTTGAATGCTGGTAGAGAAAGAGTGGGTAGAAGATGTATTTCCAATACTTCCAGTTTCCTGGTTTGATTGAAGCCCCCTTTCCAAATCCTAATGAGTTCCCATTCCCGCACCTTCCTTGCACACTGCGTACTTCTTCCTAGTAAACTCCTTTATTCAAATTTTCCAGATCAGTAGGATCCCATTCTCTAAGATTTTTCAAGGCAAAAAAGTCTGATACCAGGAGATGTGTTCTTACAATGTCACAAGGTAGGATCACAAAAGTGGAGAGGGAGCCAGGAACATTTCTTTGCAAGCTTTGGAAATGGATGCAAAGGGAGTCTCATAAATGGCCCCAGAATCTGGGTAAAACCCAACTAATCTGGGTAAAACATAACCAACCAGGCAATATGATAGCCAAGAGTTGGAATGCATTTTGGTGGCCAAGCAGGAAGTAAAATGCACCCACCAAATGCAAAGGTTGTTAAAGTTCTGAACAGTTTCCATCTCACATAGCTTTACCTACATAACATATGACAAATGGAGAGATTTCCCAGGGCCTAATCTGCTGCACATGGCTTGTAGCAGGCTCACTGGTAGCCTGTGGTGCCTCTGCTACCAGAATGTGTGCACAAAAAAGGATCAGAAGTTCTGATGCTACCACTCTGTTTCTATCTTGCTCCATAAGACACAATGAGCTCAAGAACATGCACCCACCTGCAGTCCCTCTAGTACCAACCCTTGCACTTGCCTTTTGGGAAGGTCAATGAATGTACAACACACATATAAGCATCTTTCTACTGAGCTGATGAAAGCTGGTGCCATCTGAGAGGAATTACCCTGGATTTAAAGCCATCTCAAAAACAAAGGTCAACCTTTCTCCTCTAGTGTCACCTGCTTTTGAGATTTGTCTCCTACACAACAATTCCCTGAGGCTTAGGTTGGTGCCCCGAGACTTGGAAGCCATATCCTTATAGAAATCTATACAGTATGAGAGAACTTCAGCTGGACAGTGTGACAGGCTTCCATTCATAATGCCTGTAAGTCAGTACTACCTTTTTTCATAATATCCCATTCCATTCATCCTTTCCTCAGTCTACCTCCTCAATAAATTCAGCAAATGCCAGGGTGATCCAGTCTTATGTTCACTTGGCTCAACAAGCAACAGTATTTATATCTGTAATAAGACCAGTATCAGTCCTCCTTGGATCCCACTTTATTGGATAACTATCAGCCAGTCTCAAATATTCCATTTATGGGCAAGGAATTGGAACATGTGGTGGTTTCTCAGCTCCCACGATTCCTGGAGGAAGTGCACTGTCTAGACCCATTCCAATCTGGTTTTAGGCCTGGCTATGGGGCGGAGACTGCTTTGGTTGCCTTGGTGGATAGCCTATTCCAGGAACTGGATGAGGGGGCACAAGTTCAGTGACTTTCAATATGCTTGGTGGATAGCCTATGCCAGGAACTGGATGGGGGGGCATATGTGCCTGTTATTTCTGCTGTACCCTTCAGTGACTTTCAATATCATCACCACCTTCTGGATCGTTTCTCTAGGATGGAAGGCACTGCTTAACAGTGACTCTGGTCCTTCTTGTAAGGGAGAACTCTTGAGCATGGCACTGAGGAATGTCTGTTCAATGCCCTGGCCATTGGCCTGTGACCTCCATCAGTGTTTAGCTTTGTCCCCCATACTTTTTAACATCTACATGAAACCGGTCGGAGAGATTGTTTGGAATGTTGGCGTTCCACATTACCAGTATGCTCATAACACCCAACTCTCTCTCTCCTTCCCATCTAATTCCAAGGAAGCTGTCTTGGTTTAAACCAATGAGTGCTCATAACACCCAACTCTCTCTCTCCTTCCCATCTAATTCCAAGGTCTTGGTTTAAACCAATGAGGCAATAAAACTGAAACTTAATCCAGGCAAGCCAGAAGTGCTCTGATCATTCAGAAGGCAGATGACAGAAAAGGGATACATCCTGTGCTGGATGGGGTTACACTCCCACTGAAAACTCAGGTTCACAGCTTGGGTGTACTCCTGGATTCATTTCTGAACCTGGATGCCCAGATTTCAGTGGTGGCTAAGACTGCTTTTGCACAGTTAAAATTGGTGCACTAGCTGCATCCGTTCCCTGAGATGACTGATTTGGCTACAGTGGTGCATGCCTTAGTTTCATCCTACTTGGATTACTTTATGTGGGGCTGCCTTTGAAGATGGCTCAGAAACATCAGCTGATTCAAAATGTAGTAGCCAAACTATTGACTGAGGCCAGTTATAATGGAATATAGCACCACTGCTACAACAACTAACTGAGGCCAGTTATAATGGAATATAGCACCCCTGCTACAACAACTAAACTGGCTGCCCGTCTTTCTAAGCCCAATTCAAAGTTTTGGTCATTACCTATAAAGCCCTATACGATCTGGATCCAGGCTATCTGAAAGACTATATTTCCCCTATATCACCTTTCTTCACCTTTTCCTGCTCTCATTGCCAGCACAGGCTCAGCTGATGGGGACACAAGAGAGAGCCTTCTCTGTGGCAGCTCCAAGATTCTGGAAGGTTCTCCCTTAGATGGTCCTGCTGTTTGCCCTTCAGCTGAAGACCCATCTTTTCAGGAAGGCTTTTAACAATCATATTGAAATCCCTTAATGCCATTTTAAGTGAAGACAGCTTTTAATATTAACTGCCTCTAATTATACAATTGCATTTTAATTCGTGTATAGTTTATTTGTTTTTTAATGTTTAACTTACTATGTTTTTAATTCTATTCTTTAATATTATGAGCTGCCTTGGGTCCCCTTATCAGGAGAAAGGGGGCCTATAAATAAAACAAACAAATAAATAAGTATCCAAACATATCTGAAATAGAGGCAACGGTATGACTCGTGAGCCAGCTTCACAGCTTATGTTAATCATGCAGTGTTCAACCTTTTCTGTCATGCCCACACTTTTGCTACAACACAAACAAGGTTACACATTGCTTCACATGTCTATCATTATCCTCCTGAAGCTGAGACTTAAAGTCTGATAACAGTAAATATGTTTAAAACACAGAAGTCATTTTGGACAGCAAAATGGAAGATTCTTTTCTGACAAGCAGTAAAATGTCCTATTTAAGCTAGATGCTTTGAACCCTGCTGATCAAGACTCTGTGATGTTATCAAATGGTTCTTGCCCCAAGACCTTCAGCTCTCCTTTGCTCTGACATTTCTAAAGAACAAAAAGTAGTTCAGAAGAGGAAAAATGAGACAGGTGAAAGGTGATTCTTTTTAACCTTTTTATGAACCTTTATAAAGGTGCCTTTTGACTTTTGTGCGCACCATTTCTCATGCAGCAAATGTAACTTACAGAACACTCACCTGACTTTTTCCACAGTGACAATACAATGAAGGTAGTAGAAGACGTAAGAGTCATTGGTAACTAAGTAGATATGTTCTCAAACAATCCACAGATATCTAGACGAAAAGAATTCTGCAATTCACATTGTGCTTTGATTGACAGATTCTGTCTTTTTGGATAATTCAGATTATTTTCTTTAAAGTATTATCTGTGCAACTTTGTTTAACTTGTGCAAAAAAAGGGAAAAGAAAACCACACATCTTTTGGAGAGTGGCTCCTAGGCCA